TTTTTTTTTTTTTTTTTTTTTTTTTACATAGAGTCGAGGTTTAGTTTCCTTTTTTTCTTGTGCCACAAACTTGTATGTTAAAGAGTCTTTAGTGATGTTTCACAAGAACACTACACTTAACAGAGCTACACAAGCTCTTACAAGTTTAGAAAATTTAGTCAAGTATTTAAAGTACAGGATATACTACATTCATACGTACATGTCGATCCTATGCAAACCATTTTCATTTCATTTTTTAATTTCTACTTGCTTTCCTGACTTGTGACCCTCATAAAGGGAATTTCTTGTGAGTCGATGTAACTTTCTTTAACATTTTTATTCAATTCTCCGAGGAGCAAAATGAAGCCGGTCAGAATGAATCTCTGAACTTTTTAAATGCTTTTACACACATACAGAAAGCAAAAAAAAAAAAAAAAAAAAAATGAAGAAAGCAAGAGCGAAAGCAGTGAACTTAAGTGTTATGTTTGCGCTTTGGGTTGTGATTTTATTATTATAATGATGATGACGATGGTGATGGTGATGGTGATGGTGATGGTGATGGTTATGATGGTTATGATGTTAGTGATAATGCTGAAAAGTGCTTGTAGTTTGCGTTTTAACAGCACACATAATATTACTGCTGGCAACAGGTGGCATATTCTTTGTTAAATGGTGATAATTTGATTTCTCTATTTTTTATAATGATTAACATTAGTAGACATTGCTTTGAAAACGACGCTGGCAACGAAGATGAAATCTTGTTCTTTTTGCTTTTATGCTCGACCAGAAAGCACCGGGAGTGTAGTAGTAGAGCAATGTAGAGGAGCACGTTGTACAGTATATGTAGAGAAATGATGAAATGAATATTTGGAAACACATTTCAAACATAATTGAGATCTAAACGGTCGAGTACTCTGTACTATGAACGATTATTATTTATTTGCATTTTTTCTTTCAGTGTACTCTTGACGGCAATTAATTATCATTAGTCTGAACGGGTAACAAAGTCTTTTCTATGATAAAATGCCCTGCAATTATTGGAAGCCTTAAATGCGCTCACTTCATATCCTTATGGATGAGGACATAAAGCCAAGGGAGTGCGTTAGTAGAAAGTCGTCAAAACTATTATTCGATTTTTGGCAGTTTCTCTTTATGTTTTCCTTTAAGCTTGCAAGGTTGATTAAATTCAAATTACAATAAATCCAAAGTCCGGTCTTTGAGCATTAAAGAAGAATAATGTATTCTTCACTATACTAAAAATTGAAATTTGTTTTTATATAGAAGTCTCAGGTTAATAAGAGCCTTTATCTCGGAGTTGAACTGACAGTTCAACTAATTTGAACCAAAGTTAGCGCAACACATATAACATATAACTCAATATGATCGATCATTGGATCACTAATAAAAAACGCAACTTTTAGGCGAAACTCGACTTTATTCGTTAATAGTATCTCCTTTAAGAGTATTACACTTTTTCCAAAGCTTTTCAACGTTGTTGTGGAATGATTTGTCCTACCCTTCGCTTTCTCATTGGAACCGTTTTTCTTTCCGGCGAGCATTTTTTCAAGATACGCAAATCGAAAAAATATTGTGGAAGGTGGCACGGTCTATATGCCTTCCCAGGAACATATCGAGCAATATGTTATATGTCAATGCATTATTCTGAAGTAGTTTTCGTTGCAAAATATTAAAAATCTGATGTCTGTAGAAATATTTATATGAGAGAGAGAGAGGGAGAGAGAGAGAGTGTTTAAAACCACACAAGCTCTTTCCTGTTACGAGCTTTCAAATTCATTTAGTATCTCAAATCAATACATTTTTAAACGATTTTTTTAAGAAATATTAAAAAGACGACATTTTTTTTTTTATAAAACCGCTTAGCAACAATCATTCAATGCAAATCAATCCCTATTGAATTTGCAAAGGGACCAATCCGTTCCATTAAGCTACAGGACAAATTACATCTGCGCATAGACGGATGGACAAACGAACGGAGAGACTTTAATCACCTTAAAGTATAACAAATAAAATTAAAAAAATGGATCTACCTGATGTTTGTCAGTATATTGCACATACTTCCTGATAACCGCAATACATTCTGTGCAACAAATACCCAGAACGTGTAACGTAGAGAAAGACATCAATTGCAGCGTGTGGCGATTGCAGTTTTTGACGTTTGCCTGCAGAAACGTTGCTTCCAAAGATTCTGTTCGCTCTTCTAATATTCATTGAGTCAAGGTCTCAACCGGCAATGAATACGTGTCCAAGAAAGATTAATTCAGTCGCTCGGCACACACATGTCTGATGAGGTAAACTAGTTTTACTCTTTCTGTGTAATTATAGAGGTCGATATCCATGTCGATCAATCAGTAGCTATTTTGAAATGTTTGTGTGAAACTTGAAATTTTTGAACTCGAAATAATTTGCATTTGTCGCTATATGACTAATCGTATTAAACGAAACCGAGTAAGATATTTAATGATCGCTACAGCCTTTATAACTCTTAATAAATATTTCTTTGGGAAAGTGTAATAAAGAGAAAAGAGGAGCAGTCAGTGCTTTTTACTTTCTATCTTAGTTTTCAAATTTTTATTAAATTTTAATCAATAATAATAATAATTATAACAATACGACATTTATTTACAGATCTCCCAGGAATTTTTTTAAACTTCAGTGAATACATATTTATTTTTCATCTGTTATAAATAAATTTTTTATTGGCTAAACCTGGACCAAACAAAAGGTATGATTCGATATATATATATATATAAATATATATATATATATATATATATTATTAAGTGATATTAAATCCTTTGTATTAATTTCATTAATAACTTATTTAGCATGCAAAGCACATAACACACATAGTTGTCCCTTCCCTTTTACTTTTATGTTTATTGACTGCAAATAATTTTATGCTTTGCTGCTAATGCTTTTTTTTTTTTATTAAAGGTATTAGTGTTTATTATTATTATGGATCAAACAAAGTCAGCGGAATACTACAATAAATGTGTGCGATTTTTTTTTTTTTATTTTTAAATACATTTTTATAATAATACAATAACGATTCGTTCCCATGCTTAGTAAAATGCGTATATGTAAGATTTCTTTTTTTTGTTTTATTTTTTTTTTTTTTGTTTTATTTTTTTTTTTTTTTTGTTAACCTACACTAAAATGAAAACATCAACAATAACAATATTGGTTTCCTTGTGAACTTTTTTTTTTGCACTTTTTCAAACCTACATTTAAAAGTAAAGTTATTTGCTCTCACTCCGAGTGTATATTTTTAGCAAGTGTTGTAATACAAAATTGCGAATGTATTGTTTATTCACGGGAGTATACTGATTTTATTATGTCATTGGTGATATCTGCATCTATGCCTTAGAATATATTATGCTAAACAATTTAATATTTTAACTATGTCTGTCCCGTTGTCTTTTTGTCGATTCGCAATTCTTTTCGGAAAATTTGCGAGAAAAGAAATGAAATATCATTACGATGAACCATGTTTGTAAAACCAAACGCTTTATCTGTGAAGCAGGCAGGAATTTAAAGAAAAGAAAAAGCCCTACTTCGTAATAAAAATTTCTAGGCTTTAGAATGCGCTGATCTGATGCGTTGCGAGGGCAGGCGTTTCGAAACATAATATTAAAATTAATCGCCCATCGCAACCCATTGGATACGATCGTAGTCAGCTGCTTGGCTTGGTGGATGCATAAAATTCGCTTCAATCCGTAAACCACTTTCCTGCATATATCTTTTTGTATATTTTTGTATTTGTAACGGTAATGAACATTATATGGTGTTATTTATGACTTTTGCGATAATTTACTATAAATTTCTTTTCTGATTTTTATTTTTATTATAATTTGATTATATTGGCAACGCATCAAGTTCATAACAGTCTTCTACACACACACACACACACACACACATACAACAATATAGTATATAGTTTATATGGGCAGGCATAGATTCGTGCATGTAGTTGTTATCGGGCATATGGCTTAACTTTTGTAATGCATAACGCAGTCTATAATTTAAGGAATTTTAAACACGGATTTTGTAACAAATGTATGCAGAATATTAAGTGTAAATGAGAAGCACCAGCGACGAAGGGAACTGATAACGTAGAAGAAATGTCAGCCATCACCTACTTATTAATACGCATATGCATATGCATATGCATATGCATGCGCATGCATGCATGCATGCATGCATGCCTACTTACATACATAATTGCAAATTATATTGAATAAAAAAATTATAAGAATGAAAAAGTAAAATAAAAACTTGAACAACAATGGCAAGAGATTGATGTGACCAAGTTTTTTATTTCTTTTACTGCTGTCAATAGATTTATTATCAATAAATATCAATCTGGAAAGGAATAGCATTAAATTAAAGTACAATTGGTAAACATAAAGAAAAGGAAACAAAAAGAAAACATTGAATCAGAAATTAAAAAAGAAATTACATACGCGTACCCTCTCCCCTGATATCACCGACTACAAGTTCAACTTTATTGTTTTTTAACAAAAAAAAAAACAAACTAAAGAACATGTTATCATTAGACTCGCGCGCACCCTACACAGGATAAGTTGATTTTATTCTATGCTTAGATGGAAACAATCAGTTTAGCTTTGTCCATCCGTCCGATTCTAATTTAATATGCTTGCACTATCTACGACATCAAATTAGTTAGTTAGTCCTATCAAATGAGTTCATCCGTGAGTTTATATGTAGTGCAAAAATTCAGTCAGTGCACCACTTCGACTTGTTAGTGCTATGTGATCTTATTTTTATTTTTTTCATTTTTTACTCGTTAGGTACACGATTGAAAGTTGAATGATTGTATTATGCTTTGGGCATATTTTTCGCATGAAAATAGCTGGCTCATGTTACAGTTATGCAAAAGAATGCCAATATTTCTTCACATTATACAAATTACATATTTTAGATAGAGGAAAAACAGGTTGTGTGTCTGCCAAGCGCGTGGCAGAAAGAAAAACTTCAAAGATGTTATATTCGCTATCACTAATAGGATTCCAACACTTGCGTAAAACGCTTAAACGATAAGACAAAATACGTATTTTAGAAGAATTAAAATTAACTTGATATGTGATCAAGTAATACCTTAGTTATTGTGTAAGTATTATTATTATTATTATTATAATTAATTTAGCCAGAGAATGAATTCTAAAAGACTCAAGTCTTAAAGCACAAGCATCTTTAAAAGCTTTTGGTTTTATAAAAAATTCCAACGCACTTGAGATTTGAACCCACGACCACTGAGTTGCTGGTCAAGACTCTTGCCTACTCGGCCACTCTGCCGGATAACAATATTGTGTAAGTAATCCGTACGTTTTATGTTATATTAATTGATTTTATTGCTCTAAGGGCCTCGGAAAAGTAATTCAATTCTATTCTGTACCAAGAGAAACTCTAAAATGGTTTCGCTTATATTAGCATTAGAACTGAGCGCCTCCTACCAGACAACGTCTAATGAGTTCTTCCCTCAGCCGTAACCTTGCATGTTTGCACCAATGCTTCTCAGATTGTTTTCCAACGCGTCGATGTTGTTTAGGGTATCCAATGTAAATAATCGATCCCACTAGAAAATAACTTAAAAACTATAATCTCAAGATTGTTTCCTGTGGCCACTTTGAGTAAACTCGCTAGGTGTCATTTATCAACTCGCTGTAACGAGTAATTAGTTTACATTTATCGGTAAAGTATGCATTTTTCTTACCAATGAACGAAACATTTTTCGATCGTAAAACTGCTGTCGAGCAGCATATACAAGTTGTGATTGAGTCTACTCGACATTGGAAACTATAAACCGACCCCTGGTATAACTCGCAGTATAGTGCGTCGTCCAGTCTTTAGAGCACACACATTTTAAAAGAAATATCCTTTGACGTCAGTTTGGTGTCGGTAAACATTAACCACAATGTAGAGTCGCATTTTTAAAGAGACTTCCTCGGAGTAAGCCAATCAGCTACGGATCAGATCTACAGGCGATATGGTACATTTTTCTAAGTACAATTTTCTAACTTCACAGGTCCTTTATTTTCACTACAAATCGGACGCTAATGATATAATATACCGGCAAAGTGCTCGATAACTTTCTTGCAATTGAAAACTATTTTATGGGGTAACACTTCATAGTTTGGCAATGTTTTTGCATTGTTTTTCTTTTTCACTAAGGTAAAAGCATAATAATATACATAACAGTTCGCTTGTCAACTATCTCTCTTCGCAATATAACGGCTTTTGAAAACGCACCCTTTGCATTACTGCAGCACAAACACCATATATTTCACAATAAATATTTCGCACTTTTGATAAACAAATCATGTTGTACTGGCATGGCTTAATGTATGAATTGGATTCAAGAAGAGAAATAACTTGTTTTCATGCCCTTCAAAAATTTATAAAATGCGAATTTCACCCTTTTTCATTAAGTAGTTCTCACTCCATGTACTGATATACTCAACTAAGGGAACGATATGCAGAGTTCGCGATAAATTTCGCAAAACATAAAGTTCATTTTTCGTTACCTACAATTCGTTACACTTATGTACATTTTCTAATTTATTGCCGGAAAATTTCACATTATTACGTTTTACATTAAATTTTCCCAAACCGTCGATGTACCTTTCGTTACACATTTATCATATCGTCTTACTTCTATTATATGAATTTTTCAATTAAATGATTATTCGGTGTCAGCCTATTTCTTGCGTACTTCTTTCACTATTGAATACATTAATTTACTCTGTTAAAGGAAAAGATCACCGATCCATAAGTTCGCCGGGAAATGTTTGTATGATTTGCATTTTTTATATCCATCACAGAAAGATGAGCGATATCTGCCGTGTTTCAAAAACCTTTGCAATGTCCAGAAGGAAACTTCAGAGACTCCACAAACTAAATATATGCTAGATCACCATTAAATGCTAAATAGATTTAAACATGTCCGTCTGTCCTTCTGTATTATATTTGTTGTAAACATTCTCCTGGCCGCAAAAGTGAGGCAATTGAGTTCAAATTCGGCAAAAACATTGAAAGCTCTTGCACACAGGTTGATATTGAAAATCGGTCGCCCAAAGTCAAACATAAACTGAGAATAACTCTTTTTTTGAAAAGCAATAAAAAAATGTTCTTTTACTTCTTACTCATAAACTGCAGCTGATAAATGTCCAAAATATTCTATGAGCGATGCTGTAGTACCTGTAGAAAAATGGGAATAATTGACCACGCCTACCCAATGTAATAGTGCGTCTAAATTTTTTTTCCCTTGTAATGCGCAGAAACAAATATCAAAAGTATATAACTTCTTGGTCAGTTACAAGTTTGGAATGCACCTAAGCATCTCCATCTGTTCGCCTGTCCGCTTATAGTAAACAGTTTCTCGTTAGCGAAAATGAAGATATTGCCCGCCATTTAGCAAAAGAATTTGGAAGTGAGCTAAACTTTTCAAAGGCCACGTTTACAACGCCAATGCACCGACTCGACAAAGACTGTCATTTTGAAAATAAACAAAATCACTGATATTACACGGCAGGAAAATTTAGGTCTTTTACTTTTTTTGTTTTTTTAGGGTGACGGTGATGGGTATGATAGATCTGGTCACGATCGAATATAAGTCCCTTACTTGTTTAACATGTTTTATTATTTTTTGGGCAAATTTAATGATACGTAACATATTTCCCAGATGTCAAGGAATTTCAGTTG